ATATATATATATATATATATCGAGTATTTTCGGTGTCACCGTGAGCGATTAGTATGAAAGGACATGAAATGTGAAGGAATTAGGTTGATAGGAACAGCAAACTTTAATTGACGTGACGCGTTCTTCAGCTGTTTCAGTTTCTTGATTTTATATTTTCTGGCAACCACACATGCAAACTTTCGATAATTCATCCAGGGCAAGTCGATCATGTGAGCAAACGCAGCGCATCAGAAGATTATCACAGCTATTTATGTCACTATTGAGTATTCTCAAGCCGTTATTGGGCATTGGTCAGTTCTGGTCACGCCCACTTAAGCGGACAATGGCGAGGTCACAAGTCATTTAAATTTTGCCAACCAGATGTAACGTAACTTTCGCAAGTATGCAAAATATGCCAGGAAATTCAGTCAGCATGGGTGCCTGTCTATAGTTGCAGTGAGTACAGTTGCATTATGCAGAATGGTCGGTATTTGTGACTTGTCAGCGCTTCAAACGGAGAACTCACTAATTTTCCGTCTATACTTATTTTCATTCAGCTTGAAATGCTGCCTCGTCAATAGGACTGTGATGCATATCCAAGACAAAGATCAAGAACTTGTTCGTCTACGGCTGAAGCCAAGTAATTAGTTTTTATTTTTCAATATAGATTTAGTCCTGTAAGTGATGTCAATCTACGCTGAAAAGTCTGGAAGCACTGTGCAGCTGATTCATCCTTGTTGGGAACCATAATCAGTGTACGTCTCATAAAAATTGGAGTTTCGAAGCCTCCAGCGACCTTCCAGTCTCAACTAGCCGTTTGGCTACGAGTAGGTGATCAACGGTGTGATTAGTTCTCACTTAGGACACGGTGCCAGTCGTCCTTGAATCAAGGAAACCACATCACGTGATCGCGCGGTCACGTCACAAATGATTCTTGATTATTCTCAATCCAAAATTATTTCCTAATCACCGAACAATCAATCAAGCAACCAAAACGAAAACTCGCGAAACATACATTGCATTCCGGCAACAAAGTACAGCTCGATGGGATAAAGAACTGTGTGCAAATCACAGCCAAGGTCGGCAGATACATACATCTTCAATGCACACCTTTGATTTACCACTGATGTACAAAATGGCGGCGACGCACATGTACCCCATTGACAATGCCAAGATACGCAACAAAAAGGGAGACACAGTATAACATATGGGTCTGCACAGAACAAATCTCGCCCTCAATGTTGATGATGGAAATGCGAGAAAAGAGGGATTGCTCATGAACAAAACTCTGGGGTTGACAACAGACTGGCGCGTTACAGTACGGCCGATCACTTCAACTTTCCTCGTGTATTGACAGATTTGATAACCCACTCCATTCCTTCCTGAAACGTAGAAAATATCGGACAACTACTGGATGTCAGTAGAGTAAGATTGTAAGTCTAGGTTGCAAAATCCAACCGGATGCACTGAAAACTGTCGGATAAAATCTGTTTGATCACACAGTCACTCCGCATACAAAAGTCTTAGAACGCAGACGAGTTTTACATTGCAAATGGAAATGTGAAGACAGTTCCTGGACATCCAACCATTGGACTTGTGACTTCTTCTAGAGAAACGATTGTAACCAGGTCATCACCATGCTTCCGTACTCGCAGTTTTCTCGATTGACGCACTGGTTGCTGTCTCAGGCATTTGTCTGTTTTAACGACTATCCATCACTTCAGATCGGCCTCCAGATTTGTCTTGGCTGTATTTCAAGCATGGAAATCAGCAACCTCCATGAAAGTATACTGCGATATCTCGAAAAGCGCACCAATTGAGGCGCGGTACAGCCTCTGTGCAACGAGAGATTCAACTGGGATTCATGTGAGTCTTTCGTGAAAACTGGATTGGTGTGTAACTGGGGCGCATATTGCGAATTTCGCATGATTTGCGTTCAAGTGGAACATATAGTTGACGGGAGCTCGGAGACTGTCTACCTGATGAGCCCTAGCAAGGGCGAAACCGTTTATGGGCTTTTGAAGGGTTTCCACAACTTTATGGGTGGTTTAGGTCTCGTGGTTTCCACTCTACTCCTTTGCGTTGTACATCCTTATCGAGGGATAGCTAATGATGATTTGGCTAGCGAGCAGTTGACTGTCTTCTGACACTAACATCAGTCAACACAACGAAATGTTTTGCACCTACCAACGGAGCTGCTCATGCGTGTCATGTCAATGGAAACTTCGCGATGCGTCGCGTTTGGCTGAACAAAGTCAGCAGGAGAGAAAGTTTGATGTTGTGCGGTTTGGACAGATTGGTGTGCGTGAGCCAAAACACACAGCGGAGGTACCAGGCATTCAGAGTGCAAGCACTTCAACCGTTTGCGAAACACACTCATTTGCAAAACAATTTGGTTTCAAAGGGGGTCAAAGAAATCCCTGGGGCGAGATGACCCAAGTGCTTAGAGCGCAAATTTACTTACCGGAAGGTCCGTCGTTCGAACCCGACCTCTGCCTCCGGACTTCTTCTTTCTAGGCTTGAGCAACCTGGCGGTATCCCAGCCCTCGTGCAACCTTCGGGTGGCATGTTGCTAGGCACCGAAAGAGTGCTACAGGTGAACGATCTTTTATTTTTTAAGAGCAATCCCAGCCGGATCTTCCCTTTATGTCGTTGCCTTACTGAAACAGCTGCATAAAAGCCACCTGATACTTTTCACTTAGTACAATATTCGACATATCGTGGTGTATTTTTCTGAGGGTAAACACTACTCATAAAGTTGCTGAAAACTTTTCGATAACCCGTGGCCAAATTGTCCCTTACTGGAACGCAATCTCTGACTTAGAATCAAACGCCAAACGATATGAAATTCACGAAATATACTGATTTGTTAACGACAGTTATTTGTCAAATGCGTACATCAGCAACCCAAAGGGGTTAGGGGATACCAAGTTTGCTAAATTGTTGAAAGAAGTTCAGTAATTTGGCTCCCTCCTCATATGTGACCATTCGCCGTCTCTCTGAATGAGTCAGATCATCGCACACTAACTAAGGTGGTATGGGAGTCCATTTGCTCTAAACTTCTTACTACGTAGCAGAATGAGGATTTTCCAGGAGAGATTAGCGTTTGAGCAATAAATAAGACAGCTCGCACATCTTGCCATCACGTTTGTCTAATGCCCATTCATTCGGACTGGTTAGTCGATTTCTTCACGGCGCTTACGCTTATTGCGCTCAGCTGAGGATTGCGTTTAGCCGACAAGTTGCAATAAAGGTTCTGGCCTCACTAGAAAACAATATGATTATCCAGATACGGAGTTGAGAAATTACTCAGGGCTATCTCAATTGGTCTGGAAGTGTGCAAAGACGCAAATATGGCTGATTGTTTCTCTCTGCCCCGTTAGTGTCCTCGAAAGCTCTTCTGAACCAATGAGGACGCTTAATTTCAGAATTTACCGCTAACAGTCATGGTGCTGATGGGGAAGCGATATCTAAACCACTATCAATTAACAGCTTTTGACAAAACAAACTTGGCAACGAGGTCACATTCGTTCGCTAGCTCGTTGAGATGGTCTACCATAGTCGATATATATGATAATACACCGATGAGAAAATGAACAACTGGTTCATCGCGGAGACAATGACACAAGGAACGGAGGAAGGTGATTTCTCAAAAAGCAAGAAAATCTGTTCACCCCCATAAAAAGACCATTCTGACGTTCGCAACTTTCGTGGTTTACATCATCATCATCAACATCGACAGCATGATATCAGTGTCAACACCGATTGCTCCACTGCCATACAACCATGATTTATTTGAAAGCCTTATTGTAGAGAAAAGAGTAAAGTGGATGGGGAAGGGACTTAGTGCTAGCTTAACACAATCATTCCGATGTGCCTATACCTCCAGACAGTCACTCAGGTGATCTGGATGGAAACCGACAACAAGGATGCCACTGACATCCGTTGGCAGCCATATCTTTTAATGTCTCTAACCAGGCACAGTGAGGATCACGCGGTCCCCATTCTGAAACGTGAGTAGCACCGACACCACCCAAGCGTTTCGTTATCTCTTCCATACTCCTCTGCCAAGTCAAGGGTGGGCCACCTCTCTGTTTACGCTACTCTGAATTGGGCATGGAAAACAGCACTCTCTTCGGCAAACGATGGTTCGGTATACGCAACAAATGTCCCAACCAGCATTTTCTGGTGCTGGACACATTCTGGAATGGAAGTACCCGTTGCACAACCGAAAACGTGCTTTCTAACTGCCTCGTTGAGGATACGCAGACACCAACCCATACGAGCAATGGTTCTGAGACAACGACTGTCGAACACCTGAAGACGTCTCAGTTCCCCTAAACAAATCCCCTGAATTGGTTCGTGTAGTGAAGAAAATGCTTTATATTCATTTTAAAACATGGCAAGTGTTTTCATGTTTACAGTTGTCTAACCTTCCACAGGGTCAGGGAGTCAGTCAAGCAACTACATCAAATGAAAGAATTTAAAGTCAATCCAACATCACAAACGACAGATTCAGCTTGGATTTAATTTGTTCTCCAATGAACACCAAATTTGTACACAGATGAACGTTTCGAGCAATGTGGACTCAAGTAGAACATACGGTTGACGGAAAATCACAGACCGTGCCTACCTAATAAGCCCCAGGTGGGACGAAACCTGCCGTGGGCTGTAGCAAAATGAGCAGTTCGCCTCATGAAAACAACCCAAATGTGTAGAGAGGATTTAACTGTGGAATCACTTCCTCACTATCTGTTTCTCCAGCCGTGGGTTTCGTTTCGATTTAAGTCTGGCTGACTGCTTCCTATGGCACATCGTAACCGAAACCGACTCAACTTTTGCGTAACGTAAGAAACAACTGCCGGTGGTTTTGACGTCGGTAAAAAGACCGTTGGTTAGAACTGTTGTAAGCTGGCAGCATATTTTGATCTTCTGACCTTTAAGAAATGCGGTACCTGACAGATCAGTCTTCTCAAGGAAGTGCCCGAGTCAGGTCTTTTTGGACTGATTTAAACGAAAGCAAGGGTGGCAAAAACTCAACGCCTGAGATAGCTTAGTAGATAACATGTGAGTTCAAGGCAAACCCTGGCTTCAGCAAGAGCCTTCTTCCGGTTCAGCACTTCTTGGTAGTAAAATACTTCATCCTATGACTGGAGCCGACCTGTATTGAAGAGCTGAGAAGCATTTTACAGCTGTTTCAATAGCATCGTCGTGATCACCTAGCGAACCTCCCAAAATGCCAGCTGGTGGCGAAAGACCAAACCGTTCGGCCACAAACGGCTCATTAACAATGTGATTAACGCGTACTCATCGCGTCTCGACCAACTTGGAGACTCGTGAGATGCGAAATAACAATAAAACAGCTGTACGGTGCTCATCAGCTGTTTGGCGTTGACTCACTTCGCCCATAGGAAAAAATCTCAATTTCAGCAATTGTTCATTTTTTCCGGCTACATGGCACCTTGTCACCGAAAATTGTATGGAAGTTGATTATCCATCCAATGCATATTTGGGGAGATTATTGAGATTCATTCGCAGCAGAAATTCATCAGTACTGGGAATTCGGTGCGCGACGGCTATGGAGAGAAGAGCGATTGTGCAGACCAAAACTTGCACCTCCCAAGAAGCAATGTTATCAAGAACACGAAACTTTTACGTAGTCCCAATGAGTATTTTTTTTATTGATAGGCGCCGCAGTATTTAGTTTGTCTTATTGAACGGCCACTCATTGTAGTTGCAGTGAGGATAGAATCCCAAAATTTTGTTCAGAAATGAGGATCTTACTGAAACCAACACAAGTGTTCCTGAAACATCGGCAACGATTCTTCCAGGCCTATTCCATGACGAAGGAATAAAACATTTTCGCTTTGCGTGCGGTAATTTGAGCGCAGTGATCATCAGATAAATGCTGAACTCACGATGGCAAGCTCGTTCCGGTGTAACGATGACTTGGACTGCGACTGAGTCTCGAGTCGGAATGCGAATGAAATTTTCATACGTCCAATAGACACTGCCAAATTGTGAAAGCTGTGTTGAACGAAGACACTATTGGATTTGCATGTTGCTTTTGAAGCTTAGTGGTAGAGTTTAGTGAACACCTTATATTCCTATCTCGGAAGAAGACTAACGAATATTCGACCACTTTTCATACCCAGTAAATGTCTAGAGCGCACTAGAGATAGTTCCACCCACCCACTAACCGTTTCTGATAGTCAAAACAATGAGAGTTGTTTTCGGTCGCTAAGCAACACCTGACGAGTGTCTGTTCACGCAACCTAATGGAGCGGGTGACTTCGGGAATTAGCGCCATAACAAATGTTAGGCAGTAGGTGAATGCAAGTTCATGAGAGAGAGATATTCATATAAGCGCTTTGGAAAAGCCGGCTGATGAGAATCAAATTCGCGCCATAGTACGATACCGCCAATACCTTGCAATGCGTTCATCTAATCTTTCGATCGATTGTAGAAACGAACTTCCGGTGGTGCATTTTATCAATGAAATAAGCTTCAGTGATGGGCGCTGGATATAGTGGATTCCCGATGGGATAGTCTTCCGCCATTCATCCGAGACTACCGAAAACACTTATTTGGTACATAAACTGGGAGGAAAGCGCCAACAGCAAGAAAAGGCTGATGTATAGCATGCCAAAAAAGAAGCAAAGGTGTCCAAATTTAGTTCCTGACGGCCATGAAGATGACCTCGTAAACGTCAAGGGCACAAAGCCGTGTGGTTGCAATTTTCATCTAAAAAACGGATATCAAAACGTTTTCTCACACCTTCAGAATAGCTGACTTGCATTTCCAACCACCTGTTTTTTTTTCTAGAGAGAGGGAAAGGGAATAACTCACTTTTATTCCGGTTCCTGTTAAAGCCGAACATCCTTGAATCTGCCACGGACGATCCCGGATAGTAAGTAAACCCAAGCCATCTGAGATTTTGTCCGCAGTTTCCGCGTTCAGTAGATCCTGTTTATTGGCAAATACGATGAACGGCACTCCAACAAGCTTGTCTTCGGCCAAAAGTTCAGAGAGCTCCTGTTTAAATAAGTAGCAACCGAGATGAGATCAGTGAAAAATTGATCGCCTTTCAGTCAGAAGTGGTTTAAGATTCACTTTAGTAGTGTTCACTTTGGTTTACAAACGATTCATTGTTGTGGTCTTGTACCCCATCGCAGTTTGTGTTGCTTGTTGGACGACGTAAACGGGCCCATACCATACGTCCGCCCATGGGTCTGGCTCTCAAGGGGTCGACATCAGGACAACCAATTACACGCGAGTGACTCGCAATGCGTTCAAGGTCAGCACATCGTGATTGGATTGTCTCCACTCTTCCTTGCTTTGTACCGCAATTTTCACATGCCCCGACACACGGCACGTGATTTCATCCCCCGATTTCCACGCTGTATGATAATTAGCACCATTTTATCACAAAACTGCATACAATGAATCAAACGGGAAGAGTCACATAGGGGACATCTCTAGACAGGGACCATCCAAGCAAAAGGTAGACACCATTCATCTACTAGAACCACGCATATAAGAAACCGTAAACATATTTCATGTAATGGAGGTTCACTACAGTGATAACTGTCTCACGTGCGGTTGCCGTCTTCTCATCTTTCCGCACACCCAGCTTCAGTGGGCACATATTGCTGCCACATATTTCATGTAAATGAGGTTCACTACAGTGATAACTGTCTCACGTGCGGTTGCCGTCTTCTCATCTTTCCGCACACCCAGCTTCAGTGGGCACATTATTGCTGCCTCCTCGTTTAAATGTAAAGCGTTTCCGAGCAGATTGCCAAGATCCGGGGACAGAGCAAATGCCACCAGACGAGTGGTTTGTTGACGTTCCCGGGTTGTCACCAAAATGAAACAGAGCTTTTGGCTTCTACGTGCAACTGTACCATCCAACCATGGCTATCCATCATCGTAGTTAACCCCACAAACGTACCAGAATAGGGACAAAAGCAGGTTCGCCTATTTAGTCTATCAAACTGGCGCTCCGAATTACGACTCCGTGTACAACTAGTGCTCTCAAGCGTAGGTGACCAGTACGTTCGAGTCTGGTGCATTTTGTCATCCGCGTCCCAAAAGAAGGCGTCATTCAAACGTTCGTGACGATACATAAACTGCTCCTCTCCTTAGGCCTATAATCGTCGTCAGCGTCATCATCATCGACAGCATGACATCAGTGTTCAACGCCGATATTCCACTGCCGTACAGTTATGATTTATTTGAAAGCCTTACTGTGAAGAAAAGAATAAAGGTGGGCAGGCAAGGGACTTAGTGCTAGCTTGCTACAATCATTCCGAGGTGTCTACACTCCAAAAAATGCAGTTCTACGCTTCCACACTTACGAGGACACGATAACGCGCAAACACGATTTAGCTATTACGGCATCCAGTCACATAACTAGGCATTTGCGAGCGCTTCGGGGCGTGAAATCCTCTCCACAGTTCAGATACCTTTCCCGGTCGCAGTATCTCACGACATGAAGGATTTAAAAAGTTAGAGAAGGAGATTAATATTGCTTCATACAAATTTTGTACAAACCGTGCCGTTTATTGCATGTTTTTGCAGGGCTGTATGCGTACTTAACGATGACTTCAGCTCAAATCACCCTCTGTCGGAAGCGTGGTTCCAATAGCCCACAGGATGGAACTTTTCGGTAAGTAACACGGAAGTACCTCACCTCTTGTGCTTCCTTCGGATGGCATAAAGGATATTACCGAAAGGAGGTTATTTATTTTTATTTTATCGCCGTGTTCTCAAGGGAATGTCAGTTAGAAGAAGATGCTACAAAAAAAGAACGCAGTCGCACAGGGATTGAACTGTATAGAAAACAATAATAGTATTAATAACAATCGTGCATCT